CCTGCTGGCTTTATATGCAAATTACTTTTATTTAAAAAAAAAAGTTAGTAATCCACATACCTGTTGGACGCTATACATAACTTTCATTAAAACAAATGTAAAATATTCTTACCAAACAGTGTGACCACACAGCTCGAAGCGGGAAGAACACAATCTTTAACGGGGATGGATGTAAAAGCTGCGTGTGAAAGGTCCCAAAATAATTGCAAAACAAGGTCAATCTTGCTACTCCTGTCAGCTTCTTCCTTGCCTTTCTTTTCCAGCAGTGCCTAAACTTTAAACTCTTTCTTTTGCTGGCCTGTGTGAGAGACAACATGGACTCAGCAATTTACACGCTTATCGAGAAAGCAGCAGGATCTCTCTCAGGGGCACCCGGCATCCCAGGCTCTGCTCTCACAGCCTCCCCAGTCCCCACAGAAGCACCGGGCATTTCTCTCTGGCCCTTCTCCTTCCTCCAGGTCACATGGAAGTAGAAAGTGCTCAAAGTGAGCCTCAGCCTCCTTGTATGTCAGAAGCATCGACACAAAAAGTCTATAGGGTGCAGTGGAAATACTTCCGATGGTGATAAGGAGTTTCTCCAGTTATAGCCATATGCGTAATAAGAAAACCACATGTTTTAATGGGAATTAAAGACAATTTAGGAATAGAGTTGATAATGGTAGCATGATTCAAGGCAGCAGATGAATCCCTGATCAGGATCACTCAGTATATGGGTGCTTATCTAATGTATACGAACTGACAGTCAACTAGAAAAAAGGTCAGATCCTTTCATCTGGGTATCAGTACCTTCCACTGACAGCCAGAGCCCTACATTTCTGCAGCTTTAGGTCAGGAGTTCTTCCAGCCTTAACACCTGAATAGTTGTACATGCTTTAGATTTTAAACCTCAGGTTCCCCTTGAAACAGGATGAAGATTTTCTTTAATAAACCACATTCTCTATTTTATTATGCCCCTTCCCTCAGTAAAGGACTCACAGAACATTATAATCATACTTCACTGTTCAGGGTAATACGGAGAAATAACAATCCACATACCCCACATTGTGAGGGCCTGATCTAAAAGCTGTTGAAATCAATGGAAAAATGTCATTAAATTGAGGGCGGCTGCCAATTTTGTAACAAGCCTAAAATGGAATCTTTGAACTTACTTGTTAAGACTGCAAACAAATTACTGTAATTCAACTGAAAAACTGAGAGTATCTACCTTTTGGACTATAGTTTTAGCCCAAAGGGCAGGAGATAATGGAGCCTAAACACATGCTTATGTCAGGATAAAATATTTACCTACACAGCTGGGAGAAGGGAATAAATATTATCTGGCAGTATCATGTTAAAGAGTGTGATTGACTTGAAAAATAGTCAGTAGTCCTACTAAGAGTCTTGGAAGGAATAAATCTGCAAGCAAAATTGTTTACACAATTTGATGCTTAAAAATGAAAAAAAAAATATTAATTACATCCTAGCCTGGAGACTTTATCTCAGCTAGAAATTCCTCGAGGCCATCGGATACATGCCTTAGCCCAGATGCAAGACAGAGAATTTCTGCACGGGTTCTGCAAAGGGTTAAACTTCTCCAGCTTCCTTTTAAATCAAAGGGCTTGGGGATACTCAGGTTTCAAGAGGTCTCCGTACTTCTGCAGTAGCAAGCCCTAGACTTTTTATATTAGCTTGGTCTGCTGGCCCCCTAGCACAACAGTACCCTCAATAAATCGGGCTTTCATTTAAAGGGCTTGTGATTTGTGACTGCTAGCTAAAGGCAGTAGTTACCCCAGAACTGTGTCCCTTCACACTGTGGATATATTGTATTGCTCTAGCACGGCACGTTTTCTAAAAAGACCGTTGTTTGAAAGGTTAAACTTTTCACTGTGCTCACGAAATCGTGTGGGAAAGGAGGAGGAGGGCAGAGCGCGCATTTGGTAGCTCGTTTCACCGGGCTGTAATAAACTTAACACTGCGCCAAAAGGAAAGAGCTCCTGAACTTGCGGGGTCTATCGAGTGGCACCTTCCAGTGTTGCGCCGAGCCCAGCGAGCGGTGGCTGTGCAAGGCAGGAGGGTCCAAGTGCTCCAAAGCCCCTGCGGTGCCCAGGTGGGAGGGAGGGTGCTGCCAGCAGGGATGAGGACCGTCCCTTTGGCTTCAGCAGAACGAGGGCAGGAGGAGCAGAGCCCCAGAGGAGCTGCCGCCTGCTGACATGGGCAGACAAGCGCTGGCTGCCGAGGTCCTTCCCCCTTCTGGTGCCAGCTGTGCCACCAGCACTGCCGCTTGCTTTGGCATCACGCATTTCTAAAGCGGGTTTTGGCCTTTTCGTTTATTTGTCCTGTTTCCTGCCCTTTTCCCAGTTTGTTGAACTGCTGCAGGAGAAAATGATCTGATCAGACCGGTCTCATATGCGCATGGAAGTCCTGGCATATACACGGGGGAGAGAAACTGCCTCCCGGAGCCAGGAGACAAGGCGGATAAACGGCCAGTATGGGAGAGTACTGAAAACCCAACTAACCAAAGAAAACCTCAACCCAGACAGTGAACACGGCACCAGTGCTTAAAAAGTGCTTCATTTGGACTCTCATTCTGCACTTTAGCCAGGGTGAAAGACACTCAGAAGCACACAGGACATCAGGCTTCCGTGTCCCTGCACATCTTTAGATGATGCTATAGGCAGAGTGCCCAGCAGATGACAGGGTAGTCTACATCTCAGCCAGCTGTACTCTTCTCCCCTGGTCTGTCACACTATTACACAGTCATAAATATTATTTATGAGTAGTGGGTA